AAAAAGGAAAGCATATTCTTATTTAAAAGCTGGGATATTTAAAAACCGCGTCAGCGTCAGTTTGCTGTGTGACACGTTTCTTGATGTAAAACTCCTCTGACGGGGAGTTAGAGGAACTTGTTCGGGGCACTCTCACTAAAGTGTGGCAATACTTTCACTGACTCTTAGTTCCTGGTAAAAGCACTGAAGCTTTGCCCAAGCAGCTATTCCTCTCTGCTCAACGGACCGAGATTACAGCACCCCGGGTTCAGTTTCTCTGGCATGAAACACGATCCTCAATGAACCGTTGATGTTTTGACACGACTGATTAACTAAGACTCCCCCTCCGATTAAAGCAACGTGCAGGAGGAAGTGGGATCTGTGCATCTGTGGCAGTGTGTTTGTGTGGAAGGGGGGGTGGTTGGCAGGGTGGCGGGGTGGTCTCAGTGGATAGCKGTTGTCTTTCTCAGAAAAGTGAACTTGTCTCACCCAAGAGACAGATGAGCAATGTGTTGGGGGTCTTGTGGTTTATGGACAGAACACAGTTCTCAGGCTGTGGGGGGGTTTTCACTGGAATAAAAGAAGAAAGTCTTTACTTGGAAATAACTGACAGTTGTGCCGGTTCACTGTGGCACATATTAGTCTAAATATGAAGAATAATAACCGAACATGGCTTTAGATAAACAAAGTGTTCTGTAAGAACACAACGTTAGCTTTAACGTATAGCAGCAGCTTTAGATGCTGTCTCTTTAAAGTACAGGACATATTTTCTGCGAGGTGTGACCAACAGCAGAATTCACTTCCTCTGGACGCCTCAGTATTTACTGTATGTATCTGTTGCAGCCAAGTGTTGACAAGTGCAGAAGTCTTACAGTTTTTTTTACTATTGCTAAAACACCTTTCACGTAACCTTCCTCTGTTTTGCCTAAATGTTTTTTTTTCAAACTACATACACAAAACCTCAAATTCTCTTCTCCAAAGGACAAACTTTCACACCGGAACAGTAGCTGACATGCTGCAAAGCTGAAAACACGACTGCACATCATTCACAGAAAAACTGAAAACACAGAGTTCAGGGTGTGACCGTGACGAAGTGAAGGTTCAGCTCAGTCTGCCGGCTTCTTTAAATCGATCTGACCTGAGGTGACGTTCCTTGTGACTTGGTGTTATATAAATAAACTAAAATGAATTGTGATGTTGTGTTTTACATTTACAATCACTGGGCAGCATCCCATTGATGAGCTGGGTCGGGTCTTCAAGAAGTCAGTCTGTGGGGGTCAAGCTGACATCAACTGTTAAACTGGCTTTTTTAAGGGATTTAAGGCATCAGCTCTACTTGGTATCTAAAAGTCTTTCTGGTTTTTATTTTTACATTCTTTTATTTATTTGTCATTTTTCACCCAGACCTTTCTAAAAAATAGTTTTATTTGTTTAGTTGCTAAGACCCAGGCATTAAAACTCAAAGGGTGTTGTATTGATTTGTGCAGATTTTAGCGAGAAGCAAGCTTAAATTTTATTTTTAAGTACTTTTATAACTAATGATTTATTGTAAAATTATCCTTTGTTCCTTGATCTTTAGCTTCTAAAATTTACAGTGTGAAAGGCAAAAAAGACAATGCTTCAATGTTGGGTTCTGTAGAGTCACTATCAGAAGTCAGTGTCTTACCTGCAGCAGACGAATTAGTTTGATGAAATAGATAAATGTTTATAATCAGAGTTGGGCTATTGGAGCAGAATTAATTTATCTAAAACAAATTATTTTTCAATTACATGTATGCTGTTTTATATATTCTGTTTTTATCTACCATGTTTTTATATCTTAGATCTTGTAAAGCAGTTTGTGCTGCTGAGCTGTGAAAGGTGCTACTTAAAGTTTACTTACTAAAACAAGAGGTTCAGGAAAACCTGATTTGAAGTTTTACACAGCATCACTTTTGCATCAAACAATTATTTATACTGAGACTAGAACCAGCAGCAGCTCCTGTGTGTAAAATATTAGTCAGGGCAAACATCATCTTTCACTTCTGATGTACTAATCCACCAAACTTTATCCTTTGTATTATATTTTCTGTAMGTTAAATCTTCTTCAATAACTAGTTAGGTTCTCTGTAATGTGCACCAAGTCTTTGCTGTTTTGTTTTTTTTACCCTTTCCCTTGCATGTCTAATAATTAAGTCAGAAAGATGAAACCCCGTCTTTTGGATTCACAGAACCAAGAAAGGTGATATTATGCTCTCCATTTGTCCTGATGCATTCTATATAATCCAGGTAGAAAAAAATCTAATAAAGTTGGATCTTTTTTGATGAAACATTTCACCTCATATCTAAAATACCTCTTCAGTTTGAGGAGTTGCAGATGAACTCAGCTTTATAAGCAGGACCTCTGCATTTATCATCCATCTTGTCAGTGAAACCTAAAATGGGTTGTTCACTGTATGTAAAAGGTCCTGTTTATTAATGCTCTATTATTTTCTTGCAGTGATTCCTGCGTTCTGTTGTGATCATTTTCTGGTTTGCTGGATCTTAAAGGTAAGGTTAAAGTTATTTCAGCTCTCCTCCTCCTCCTCCATCTGAGAAGGCTCATTCATCTGAAAAGCAGAGCAGCCATCTCCGCCTGRAGCCGCTGGTGATGCAGCTCAGAGCTTCTGCAGCGAGGGTCATACTGGGACATCCGCCGGTGCAGAACAAGGTCACTGATGCAAGTCAGGTCCCAGCGAGGGACAGGCGGCGCTTCTGGGAGCGCTGCATGCCAAACAATTATATCTGAGCTGCACTCATCCATATAAAAGATGCATGGCTTTTAAAAAAAAAAACACACCCAAAACTAWTTCACATCCCTCCCTCTGTCTCCTCGCTCTCCCATGTCTGTTAGTGCAGAGATGCTGCAGAGGACACACCCAACCACACTCTGCTGCCTCTCTGACCTCCCTAACGGTGCTGCAGTGACCACACAGAAACGGCCTCCTTTTATCTCTAAAGCTCACAGCGGAGAGGACACAAGGAGAAAACCTTTTTTTGCGTCATTTCTTCTCCAATGAAAAAAGAAATGAAAAGTGCACTTGTCCCTGACTTCCTGCAATTAAGTTTCTTAATGAGCCTCTAATGACATTAAACTCAAATGGAAGCAACAAGAGGGCACAAATGAAAAARGACATTCAGTGAGTTCTTTACATTAAACAATAATTTTACAAAAAAAAACCTGTCTTAGTGTAGTTTTTGGGAACACTTATGATACCTGAATAGTGTTTTAATAAGTACCAAACACAGATGTTGAGTTCTCTTACAGATATGGAACATTTAGCCAAGGTCTGCTGAAAATATGCCAAATATACCTTAAAATAATACATTCATACTGAGGGCATAAATAGATTTGATGTTTATGGGTTTAGGTGTTTTTTTCTTTATTTTTTATCTTTTCTAGTTTTAGAAAGCAAATTATAATTATTGTGCAAAACTGTTTTTTGGGACAGAAAAATTAATGCAATCTTTTCTTGATTACTATTGAATTTATATTTACCCTCGTCAAGGGAGGAGGTAATGTTTGTGGTTGTGTATATCTGTCTATCTGTCTGTGGACAAAATTACTCAACAACMTATGGACGGATTTTCATGATTTTTTTTTAACCACAGGTGGGTATTGGCCAAAGAAACACACTWTTACATTAATGTGATGATCTTGATCAACCGATTTCTTTGAAGGACTCTTCATATTGCATGATAGGGGAAATTGACCTTGGCGGATATTTGCGCTCTCCGAGTGCTTCTAGTTGTTAAAATAACTTCAGTTTGTTTAATAAATGAAAATATCTGTYTAATAAAARCATTTCTTGGACAGACCTAACAAAWTTTCAACACAGGAGCCAGCACTAATTTACAAGTGTCTTAAAGCTGTAGACAATCAATAAACTGTGTAATTTGAGCCGTTAGTGAACTTACAGGGATACATTTTTAAGTGGATTTCTGTGGAACAGTCGTCAGTATCTTACCTGCAGTAGACGGTGATCCAGGCGATCTCGGTTTGGAGAAACGTAGAGGAATTCTCAAATCTGAGACAAATCAAGAGTGAGTTTGCAGCATTTAAAACAGCTCCTCACAGTTCGAGTCAGCARTAAATTATTATTTTCAGCACTCAATAACACGAGGCAGTTATTGATGTTGCCATTTATTTAAAATCCAAACCTTATTTACGTTACAACACTGTGCGCTGGTTCAAGTGGATTTGAGTCGTCAATCAACTAATATTTTGTTGAGAAAAATAGTAATAAGACACTATTTTGGTTTTAGTCACTCTGAAGCGTCAGAGCAGGTGGTAACCCTAATTTTGTCCAGATGAAAAATAAACATACAAAAATGTAAATGCAAAATGTAAACTGAAGAAATCTGAACTAGTGTATTTATTTTTTTGTTAGAAAGTTGCTTCTAAATGACCCCTGCCAAAAAGCCATCAGCCCAGGTTTCCCTATAAATATTTCTCATTGGCTCTCTTATTTGAGGTCCCTCCTACTACTGTCCAACACAGGTAAGACACTGACTACTCAATCCTTCACTTGAGAAAAAGATCCATCCCTAATGGAAAACAGGGTGGTTGCGTAACACCAGAAAGTGCCCTAATGTTTACAATCTTTACGCTAAGCTAACTTCTGTTGCTTTATAAAACAGACCCCCCTCCCTGAGAGCGCTGGTCTCGTTTCTGAGAAGCAACGGCTCGTGTTCATTTTATCAAGTCAACAGATCTGAAATGTTTTTCTTCACTGCAGGTTTTGTGGTCAAACATGAGAATCTCGACACCTTTCACACAAGTTTTTTATAAAGAAAACTGTGCAACAAAATACATGTGTGTATGTGCATTGTTATATATTATGTGAATAGTGTTTTTCTCTTTCCTTTTATTTCTTCTTTATTTTATCTCACCCTCTCCTGTATGGAGCTGCAGTAATGTGCAAATTTCCCCATTGTGGGATCAATAAAGTTTTTATCTTATCAAAACAATTCTTTGACTTGAAATGAAAAATAAAATCAAGATTTTATAGAAAACAAGAGTTCTCCTTTTAATGTCTCCAGCTGTATCATATCGTCTCTTTGCAGAACAGACTCCAGATTTCACTTTGATTCTGCCAACATCACAGTTTAAAGTTTGCAACTGAAAAATACAACACAAGTACATATGCACAAAGTAAAACTTATAAAAAATATAAAAACAGTACTCTTAAATTTCATGTTGACAAGTACCATTTCATTAACACATCTGATAATACACAGCAGAGCAAACAAATCAAACTGGTTTTCTTTTTAAATAGAAGGAAAATACATTTTTCATCATGCAGAAGATGTAATTAAATAACCAATCAAACAAAAATAATATATACTTTTCTATATAAGTCTCTCTCTATCTGAAATTTCAAGTCAAAGCTCTCTCGTCCCTTAAACAGGGAAAAACGCAACATCTCAAAACACCGGAGGATCCACAACGCTTTCATCAGCGGCCATCTTGGTGCGGCCTTTAATAAACAGCGTCAGAACTCAGCGTCATCTGTTTGGCACAGACAAAGACGTCATAATGGCAGTAGCATTTTGCATTAGAAAAGTGGGCGGAGGTGAGCGCTTTTTTTTATTTCCTCTACGAAACAAGTAAACCGCAACAAAACAAAATAAACAAACATTCTAGTGGTGTTTCACCGCACCAAGCTGGTTGCAGCCTAGTCCTTCTGCAGCATGCTCTTGATAGTCTTGTTGGTTGATTCGTCGTTCAGATGTTTGGTTGTGTACCTGCGAACCAGAGGAAAACAAAAACAATATTTCAACACATTTAAAATAAAAAAAAACGTCTGTGGATATTTTTAATAACTTCACAACATAAATACAGTACATATTTATGGGCAGGGATTTTTAAACATTTCAAATCTATTCACTCTTAAGTTTTACCAAAAATGACTAAATGCATTTAAGTAGTTTGTGAGGGGGACTATAGTGATGGAAAGTTTGTTTAGGTGTTTTTACACAGGGTTTAAAGCAATAAAAACACTACACTGATTGATTTGAAGTTTTAAAATACAGCAACACTGTTTTATGAGCAGACGTTGAGCAAAAACAGTATTCATGTATAAGATATTTTCATTGTGGCTGAAAATCTCTGTCTAGTTTTAGCCTCAAACATATTTTTCTGCTTTATTTTCAATGCCAGCATGGCTCTTTTTTGTCTTTCCCTGTCGCTTCAGAGCTGTGACCACCGATGTAAAATCTGTCAGCTTCTGTCTGAAAAAGGTTTTGCGGACAGGAAGTGCTGTTGGCTGGTTCCAGAGATGATGGTTGGCTCAGACAATGACCCTCGTCTGTTTGACAGAGGACGGGCGTGGTGATCCTATTAAGACTGGGGGACAAAATGTTGGATTTAATCTGCCTTTTCTGTAAAGTCTTCGACACGCAGCTTACATTGAGTCAGTTTGCTGAAGGGGAGGAAACTAAAACAAAAACTGTTTGTCAGCTGCTGGTAAACAAGCACAAAGATCAACACGAGCAGGGGACTACTTCCTGTTAAAAAGGGTGTTAGCTGGAGGCTATATTCACAAAAGATGTTGGCTAATTTATAGCGAGCTCACCTGAGAGCGTTCAGAAGGCCTTCTACGTTGTTTTGTGGCTCATCTTTGAGGACTTTGATGCAGCCTTTCATCTGTGGATCAGAAGCAGACTGTTAAAAGAGGAATTTACTGTGAGCAGGACAGCAGAGAGGATTTACTCACGTCGATTTTGGACGACTTGGCAAACGCTCCGACCGGATGGACGTGGTCGTACAGAATGATGACTCCGACCATCACCCTGAGGCAGAAAGGCACCGTCTCCTCGCTGGTGAAACGGCTGCGATAATCCCTGACATGAGTGAAGGGGAGGAGTTCAGATGGACTAAAAGCCRGGAACAAGATGTAGAACGGATGTAGGGAGGGTACTTACTGTGTTTCCAACATGACTTTACACACACTTGCCATTGTGCTTAAACAATCTGTCGTGTTCTCGATGGGAAGGTTCTTGTTCTGTGAGGAGAAACAGAAGCTGCAGATTATCACAAAGTGTGGCACAAAAGAACTGTCAAAACTTAAATTACGTTTGTGTGTTGGGCTTGAAGCAAACGTTTAGGAAACTGCAGCGTGTGAACACTTTAGTTCCAGCTTTTACTTAAAGGAGAGAGATATCCTGCTTTTAAATCCTTCTTTTTCATATTTCAATTCTTCAGTTGGGGTCTAGTGCAAATGCAATGTTTTGTTCTGGATTCCTCCTTACTGTAACTCCACAAGCCCCTCTTCCACCTGAGGTGTGTCTCAGATCAACATGTTTTGAGGCTGTCTCTTTAAATCCAAACGAGGTGCCTCAAACCCGCCCCCCTCCAGCTTCCAGAGCAGTCCAGTTCAGCTTGTTAGAGGGGTTTACAACTATTTAGCAGCGCAAAAATATTTTATTTACAAATGAATTAAAAGATGTCAACAAGGGAAGACTTGTCCATCCAGCCTTATATGTTGGAGCCAGAGTCTGARCCAGAGCCAGAGCAGAATGAAGACCAGCAAATTGTTTAGTTGATAAGTCCAGATCTTATTTATCTACGCAGCATCGGGACAAAATTTTCTGCACTCCTYGAGACTCCAAGTACACAACAAAATGTATTTAACAGCTAAAACAGCAGATTTTTCATATGTCTCCTTTAAAGAATCAGTGTTGTAAGATTCATAGGTCATCCTTTTGATGAACAAAAGTTTTCAGTTGTGTTTAATTGAAGAGTAGGAACAGAACAAACCTTTCCATCCACTATTAAAGTTTAAATAAGATTATTCAGTGCTAAAGAGGTTTTCATTTAAATTTATTGGTAGCTTCTGAGCTCTACTTGAATGTAACTCAGTCACTACCATTTATTTTAACACTCCCATCATTCTTTTGTCCTCTTCATGACTACACGGTTTTATTAAAGATCATTAGTCCACACTAAACATTTCTAAAAATGCATCGGGGCTTGTTTGGATGTTCATTTGCAAACTTAAAATGCTAAATTTGTCAAATTACTAATGACTCATCTGATTTATTAAAAATAAGTATTTGTGCAGACAGAGCTGTGCACCAGTGCCTTTCAAACCTTTGAGGGYATTTTACTCACTTTACTTTTAGTGCCAAAACCTTATGAAAGCCAGTGTTGCTGTGAGATGCTGAAGTCTCACCTCTGATACAAACTTCGTTGTGCCGTCGCTTAACGTCTTCAGCATGGGCGTGGCGTCGGCGTAGAACAGAGATATCCGATTGGCCAGCTCGTTGTTGACTTCATTCTCACCCTCTGCCTGGAAATCAGAAAATATATGTATATGCATGTATTCATAGTGTTCATGATTTCTTTTTAAAGTCGTTTAACCTGCTGACGTTTTGTTCCTTGTTGCAGACATCTGACCTTAATAGAAAATTCATATGAAGACCTTTAGCTGATGGTGTTATCAGAACAGCTCACCAGGAGAAACGACACCATCAGGTGAAATTTGAATGAAAAATGTCAAAGTAATAAAGAAAACATTGCTGCTGAATAAAACAGTGCAGAGGGACTGATCTGCAAGAATATAAAAGTCATTTGGTGTTTTTCTCACTCTACGTTGTGAAGGTGATGCAAAATTTGATTTAATATTTGAATTAAAAGGAGGCAGAAAACAAAAAGTATCTGAAGCAGCTGCAGTGTTTGTGTCTATAAATAGTTTTCTCATCAAAGCAAACGATGACAGGAAAACACTGATATGAACTGTATGACCGAGTCGTCCTGCTCCCCTCAGATTCCCATCTGACTAATGCATCTTTCTGCTGCTTTCCACTTTCAGGCACGCTTAAAAAAAACACCTGGCAGATAACAGAACAAGGCGTCTTTCGAACAGCCTGTTCTAAATTTGTCTACATATTTAAAACAACAAGAACATTTCCTGTCGTCAAGAGAGGCCTGACGAGATCCAGATAAATCGCCACAAACTTTGGAAGCGATTCAAGTCTTAACGAACAGTGACAGATGAGCTCAAAGACTGTCTGAGAGGGACAGATGTGTTTCATCTCAGTTCTCCGAGCGGTGACTAAACAGAGCTGTGAGGAGAGAGACAGTCTGAGCATCTCCGAGTCCTAACAAAAAAAAAAAAAAAACCTGTCTGGGTCCCATGTTCCTAATGGTGTATTCTGGATCGAAATAATCAAAAGAACCGGTGTGAAATGGGTCCGGACAGAGAGCGGTCTCCATTCATTACATTTTACCACTGCCTGCATCCAGTAGCTGGAAGCAGCTGAGCAAAGATCATCTGAAGTGCAGCATTAATGATACAAGAGATGGAATAGCTTTTTTAATTTACATTTTAAGAGCTATCCTTTCTATTAAATACAGGGAACACCCTTTTAGTGAGCTGCTATCTTTTTAATAGCCCCTTTGGTTTAACATCTCTTTGGATTATAAACCACCTGCAAGACAAAGACTGAGGATACTTTCCCTCAGCTGTTTTATGCCTAATTTAATCCAGGCTCACACTGAAGTCATAAAATCATGCAGCAGATTAAACTTCTTCAGTCTCTCTCTGAGTTCAGCGTTTTGTCAAATCACATGTTTGTTATACCGGACACAGACTCAAACTTTGAGAAACAGATTATTATTGTTCATATTACTTTTTCTGTTTGCTTTCAAAACCGTTCGATTGTCTCATCATTTTGAAACAAACCTCTCTGACTGTGCTCGTCTTAAACACACTTTATAAATAAACTTGACACGTGGAGCCACAAGCGGGGCAAATCAGAAAATCTTTACTTCCTCCGATGTCACAAACGACTRGCAAATAGACTGAGCGTGCACCTGGACGTAACACATTACGGAGACAAACCGACAGAAATGGGACACAGACGGTTCTAATGCAGATATTTTCAACGTCTGTGTAAGAGAGGTCCATTAATAGCAGCTTAGCCCACATAAAGTTGACAGGAAGTCAGCTTGTAGAGCTGCAAATTCTTGAAACTCCACATTATTTGGCGAATTACACTCGAGTTTTTGCTGCTTCGGCAAACTGTATACAGTAATAAAAAGGGATTAACAACAGGGATGAAGGTTTCATTTATGGAAATTTATTGCTTAGGCTCATTTTAGGTCATCTAATGTATACTGAAATCTTTTAATGTATTTGAAAACGAAAAGAACACATAAGAAAATTACATTTTAACTAATTAAAAATTGCCTTAAAAGCCTTAAAATAAGCCTTATATAAATTTAACTCAGGCTTTTTATTATTTTAAAGCCACATTAACATCATATGAGGTATTTCAAATAAACTTGAGTACAGCATATTGTGTTCTCTATCCAACACTGTGTGGTGTTCAGTGCCAAAACATGTGCACAAACTGTAAAACCAAAACTCTGAAAGATAAAGAATTAGATCCTTCCTGCTCCACATACACCTTTAACTGCAAACTTAAAAAAGGCAAGAGATGAACATCCTCACCGGTACATTATTGAGCCGCATTCGACTCAGCGTTCTCCTGTAGTAGCTGAAGTCATTCTGAATGGCTGGATTTGTCATCTGGGAAAAAAAAGGGGAAAAAAAAGGTAAATAAATAATTTAGGAAACAGTTGTCTGTAGGTGGCACGCCCTGCGGTAGGACGTAGAGGATCACACACACTGCTGTCATGACAGAACGATTTCGCCAGCTCGGCAGAAATGTCGCTTTGGGCAGGAAAGACGTGAAAAGAACGGTGAGACAATTACAGTTTTATGTGCTGAAKCGAGTTTAAATGCTCTGACACTGATTCAACCACTTAAACCCACATCTTCTCCCCTCCTGTCTGAAAATATTTGTCTTTTTTCCCCTCCATTCTAAGATGATCAGCTTCATTTATTCTGACAGCAGGGCTAACACTGAGCCTCGTTAAAAACAGGAAACAACACAGGTTTAATGTACCGTCCTTTCGTCTTTTGACATTTTTATACAAAAAGCTTCAAACAGAAAAAAACATCTTAATGTCTGACATGACTTCTGTCGATCCGATCTGAATTTATTTATTTATTTATTTATTTTATTTACAAAAAGGAAGCTGGCCAATAAGAGAGCTTCTTTAAAAAAAAACATAACGCAGTGCCACCAGTGAGAGCTCATTATGTGGCTAATTATCCTCATTCCTGTATGAGCCTGTCACAGTCCATGCTGTAATCCCACTACAATGGACTGGTATCTGTCTTTGTCCACTGTGTCCACCAGCAGAGACGGTCTGCTTCACCAGGGAGGTGGCTGCACGCCACACAGACACTAACTAGGTCAGAAGCCCATGCATGGGTGTGAAAGATTGATGAATAGGCCTGGCATGCCACCTTACACCCCCTACCTTCATGTTTTATCTTGCCAGGATGGGTAGAGGGTACTAATTGGAGTGTCGCGGCAAACGCCCTGAGGGAACTGGGGAGTGTTTTTTTTTTWAAATGTTTGTGTCTCAGAGCGAAGACAGAATGAGTTCAGCCACCGAGCGCTCACTGGATTTTATTTTTTTCTTACAATGACCATTTGAGTGATTGTGAGACTTTCAACGACATTTTGTTAGTTTGAGTTTGATATCAAGACAGATTACACTTCTTTTTATTACTTCCCCCCTGATTAATTAATCACTCGCKGCCAAGGTGAAAGGGTAATCATGTTTTCGCTTGTATTAGCCTCATGAACCACTGAAAGGGTTTTAATGAAACTCTTAGTAATTAGATGGACGTCTGCTTTAATTAACTTGTGAAGTRAACACAATTCATGACGGCCACCACAGGTAACTGACATTAGCAAACACAAAAAATTGCTTTAATCTAGTTAAAATTACAAATATTAAGCTAAAATTTATGCTTTTACGTTCATGGACTCAAGATTTAAACAATTTATAGACCTTGTTCATTAATATTAACATAATGAACGACATCCAGTGTCTTATAAACAGAGTCAATTTTCTAATTACACACTTATCACATGCTTATTGATGGCAGCACGAACCAGTGCAGAGTAAAAATCAATCCAAGGCCATCAGGAGATTGTTTGGGGGCTAACGGTTCCAGTAAAGCAGAGCAGAGTTTACAGTGAGGGTTAAAAAGGAGAGCGTCACACACGAGGAATTGTTAGAGAGAGCGAGACGTACTTTAAGCTCATCAAAGCGCAGAGTGAAGTGCAGGATCTCTGCAAACTGCTTGGCCAGCGCCTGCTCCCGCTCCAGGTGCTGAGTTGGGTCGCTGTAAGCCTCGTTGGTCAGAGCTCCCAGGAGGCTGTGCAACGCCGCTTCTGTAAGACAAAGAGCAGGTTAAACACCAAGCTGTCAGAAAACGTGTCTATTTAGCTCAGATTAATCATAAAAAAGACCACAGAAAGGTCTTCAGCAGACACAGTTCTGCTGATTGAGAAGTCAAAAGTGAGTGCTGCTGAGCGCTCAGCTTCTCTGTCTTTCAAGCACACGTTAAGTGTATGTTAAAAATGTAAAGGTCAGAAAAAACCTACAGTGTGGTTGTGCAGGAAGAAAACAAAATGTACTAGAACTACAAACTCTTAAGACTTCTTTTAACTAGACTTAGTTAACTAGAAAGCTACAAGACGTCTTAACATCTGTTCTGACATGAGCTTATAGACACTGATAATTTTGATATATGGTGCAAGAAAGAATGCAGAAGGAAGGAATGATCGGCTTTAACTTAAACTAAACTTGCAGAGATTCTTGCTTTTAAAAGAACAAGCAGGATCAAACTCTGCCCCCCTCCAAAAACAATAGTAGGACTCGTGGGATCAGGCTTTATTTTTAAGCTTTAAACCTGGTAATAATTGTTTAATTTAACCCCATAAAATAAAGCTTAAATAATTGAGTTCCTGTCAAATGAAAACAAGTACTCTGTATGTTAAACAGCATTTAAAAMTAAAGTAGCTGCTATTAATAAAGGTCAACTTCACATGCATGCAAGCTCAATTATGTTTCAGAGCAACACAAATGATCCAAACCTTTAATAAAAAAAACAGCAATAACAATTTCTACATATGAAAAGTTCAAAAGAAAGCTTTAAGAGAATGTTGATTTCTTCCTTTTTGAGGTCAAGGAACAAGTGTCAGAGTGGATCAGAGCCACGGTTAGATGTGTGAACGGRGTGGAGAATCAGCCAGCTGAAGCCTCCTGATTAGGATGGAGACAGATAATGGGGCAGTGGTGGTGCCCAAACCGCCCAGGGGCCAGTGCCAGTTTCAGGAGGTGGAGTGGGGGGG